ATTTAAAGTTGTAAATAAAACAAGCATTTCTGGTTACCATCTTTAAAATCAGTTCCTAAAGAACTTCTCTTGACTTCTCACTGTGATTAATTGCAGTAGTCAGCAACATGGATGGGACGGGTAGGGCGTAATATGATCATATGCGATACGGAAGTCGATACTGAGGGGAGTATTATAGTATTGCAGCGATTAGTTTGACTAGTGTGTTCTTGGGAGAGTAAGGCCAGAGAATTGCGTAAAGTAATAAAAAAAATATAATTAGAGTTTTTATGACTACACACCGAAGAGAGTGTGAAAGATACAAAACCAAGAAATAGGTGAATTCTTATAAATAAAAGAAACAAGAATTGTAACTTTTTTTCAATTAATTTTGAAAATTATTTTTTATACCATAAATGCGCACGATAGAGAAATTAAAATTTACGATACACTTCTCATAATTAATAAATACTGAAGAACAAGAATTTTATATAAGCTAATGAACGAACTCAAGAGAATGGCGTGGAACCAAGAATTAATTTCTGGACAAATTGCACAAGATAAATATTTGTGATGATATTTAATGAGGGAGGTTTTAACCGGAGGTATATTGGACGGAAGAAACAGACTTCTTTTTCGATATAAGAAAAGATTAAACGGGAGATATATTAACGTAATGCGATCGTGTGTGAACAAGTAAGGAATTTGACTACTATTCCTGTTTTCCAACGCAGAATTTATTTATTTTGTAAAAGTCAAGAGAATGAATAATTTATTGTGAGAAGAAGTAAAGAAAAAGGAAAACAAAAACGGCAAAGTTATTATGTGGATAAACATAAAGATCAAATCCTATTACTATAGAGAATTGTTGTGGAACAATCTTTGTGCAAAATAAAATAAAGTGAAACAGATCAAAACAACATGAAAAATATATGGATACTTACAAATTATATTTTATCGAATCGAATAAATAATTTAAACGATCAAGCGACGTGATGTGACACTCTTGTCCTTAAGCAACAATTGGCTCCGCTAAAGTGCTTACGTAATAAAAGGCGTCATCTCCCAGGATACAATGATCTTCACGAAATTGTTTCAAAAAAAAAAAAAAAATCTTCACAAATTATAGTAAGCACTGCCAAACAATTTTTTATATCGAACAAAAACTTATGTTATAAACTCCTCTGAATTTTTTTCTAAAATAAATGAAAGAATAATGATGCAAGAGCGAGCAACATGAGGAAAAAAAAAAAAAAGAATTTTCAGAACCAAATGATTTGGAAAATGACTGATATTAGGGAAAAAAAAACCAAACAAGTATGAATTTGAACTGAACAGGTGCAAAACCCGTTGAATAGATTCGAATTTAAGAAACTTGGACAAATCGTGCGAACTACTGCAATATAAAACTGTCTAGATTTTGAGATCGTCTAGGCAGTTATGAAAAAAATCGATATAAATTTCACAATTTTGATTTTAATTTTGTAACGGGAAGTCCAATTGGGTGTTGTTTGCTCATACAAGTCTATTTAGGCTTGAACAAGTTGCCCGTACCAAGTTTCGATGGTTTCAGTGGTCATTTTGTAATTTCAGCCCCCAAACGGGCCTTTTAAGTCTTGTGTTGCCTGTCACTAAAAGTATTGGCGACAAAATAATAAATTGTCACCGTATATAGACATTTAGCGACAAGCAAAATTGGTCACCAAAAATCATATATTTTGTCGTTATAAAATTACAATTTGTTGCTAAAAGGTTAAAATTTGGATAGGCTATGTAGTTTTAGCGACAAATAAATACGTCGCCGAAAGTACTATTTAACGACAAAATTAATTTGGTCACTAAAAATTCACGTTTTTAGCGACGAAAGTTTTGGTTGCTAAAAGTTCTTAGAATAACCACTAACTTTTAGTGACAAAAAAATATATTGTCGCCAAATATATTAACAACGACAAAAACACCACCTGTCACTAAAAATTCACTGCACAAATTTTGATTTTAATCATTTCACTATTCAAAATAATCAAAAACACCTGTTTTTCTCTACACAATATATACACAAATGTAATGTAAGAATGGTTTGCTTGTTCTGAAATTTCAATTAACGAGTATGAATCTATTTGTTTTATGTTATCACACAATTTATACAACATATAGATATATATATATATATATATGAATGTATTTGAAAATAAGGAAATTGTAGAGAATCAAAACAAGCATGAGTTGTGATTGGTTAGAAATGATGGGTACATAGATTTATTTGCTAGAAAAACAAAAAGGGGATACAAAGTCATACTAAATAATTTTTTTTAAATTAAAAGAATTTTTCTTAGTTATGAACAGATTTAACTGAAATCAGCTTGTTTCCCAATGTTATGCTTCATTTATTTAGATAGAAAATATTTTTTTTAAAAAAAATTAAAAATATATTTTTTTATATTTGGTGGTGGTGGTGATAACGAAGGTAAAAGTAGAGATTGTGACATAGTGGTGGGGTGATGGCGGCAGTGATGATGGTAGCGGCTATGGTGATGGTAGTGTGATAGTGAAGGTAAGAATAGTGATGATGGTGTTGTGAAATTAGTAAAAATTTAATTGAAAAAATATTTTTTGTTTTTTAAAAGTAACAAACAACAAAATTCGTGGGGGGACTAAAGGAAGAAGATGGATGATAGATTAGGTGTGGTAAGGCATAGATATTTTAAAATGAGTGGTTCAGATTTGTTAAAAGATATAATTAGATTTTGGATAAATTAAAATAAATGGTACAAATTTGCTAAGAGAAAGATGGTTTAATGTCTAAAATGTCCGTGGCTAAGAGATCAACAAACAATTCCTTGTTTATGTCCTGATGCAATTTAATACGGGTCTTATAACACTTTTTTCAAACAAATTCTTTCACATTTTATTTCTTCAAACAGGCTCTTATAACTTTGTAAACAGGTTCTTATAACATGTAGGGGAGAGAGTGAAAGTGAGAGAGAGAGAGATGGAGATGATTGTAATTTTTTTTTAATCTTCCACGTTCTTCCACATTTTCTTTTTCAATTACTAAAATTTATTTGATTGTCTCAAAATTATATATTTGATTATTGTAAAACAAACTCTTTAATTAATTAATTAATTAATGTGTATTTGATTTTGTTGTTGAACCAAATAAAATAAAATAAGATTGAATGTATATTTAGCTTTTGTTGTGAACCTTAAAAAAAAATAAAAAAATAAGTTTTTAACATTAAATATATTAAAAAAGAAAAAAAAAAGATTGAAGGTATATTTAGCTAAAACCTTAAAAAAAAAAAGAAAAAGAAAAAAAAAGAAAAAGAAAAGTTGTTAACATTAAATATATTAAAAAAGAAAGAAAAAAGATTGAAGGTATATTTAGCTTTTGTTGTGAACCTTAATAATAATAATAAAAAATAAAAAAAAAGGTTGTGAACATTAAATATATTAAAAAAGAAAGAAAAAAGATTGAAGGTATATTTAACTTTTGTTGTGAACTTTAAAAAAAGAAAAAAGAAAAAAAAGTGATTGTTAACATTAAATATAAAAAATAAAAATAAAACAAAAATGGGGATTAAAGTGGGTAGGAAAAAATCCAAACCCATTAAGAAATGGGAAGAGTGGTACCCACGGGGAATAGAGAATGGGGAATGGAAAAAATTTATTATAGGGGAATGGGGATGTGGAATTAATATCCACCCCATTAACCCCCATTGTCATCCCTACCTCTGAAGATGAAATTTATCTTAAAATAAATAAATAAATAATAGGTATGGTTTTAAAACTATTCATCTTAAATAAATATGAAAAATTATGTAATTATATATATACGTATATAAGGTTCAAAAAAACGAATTAATGATCATCAAATGAGACCGATGGTGAATCGTGTGACATGAAAACATTGATAGCAGTATAGGGGAAGTTTCCACCGGGCAATAATGATTGAATTTATAGTAAAGCTTAAAGTCCCGTTTGGGGACTTACTTTTTTAGTTAATTAGTCAAAAAGTTACTAAATTAGTCAAAAAGCCAACAACTCATACCAAAAAGTCAAAGATTCTCTTTTCTCTTTATATGAAAAATTATGTAATTATATATATACGTATATAAGGTTCAAAAAAACGAATTAATGATCATCAAATGAGACCGATGGTGAATCGTGTGACATGAAAACATTGATAGCGGTATAGGGGAAGTTTCCACCGGGCAATAATGATTGAATTTATAGTAAAGCTTAAGTGTTAGTCGCGGTTGGTATCAAAAAGAAAAAATAATAATAATAATTATATTTAGCAGGTTTGGTTTCAATTTTTTGAATTTAAATTTTTTGAAAATTGAGGTTTTTTTTTGTGTGTGTGGTTTTTTTTTGTGTGTGTTTTTATTTATTTATATTTTTAATGAATATTTTTTAAATTTTTAGTAATATTTTTATTTTTTTAGATACACCTTATTTAGATATATCTAAAAAATAAAATATTTGTAAAAAGGATTGTTTTAAGAGGTAGGTTAAAATGTTTGTAATATATTCAGATATCGATTGCTGAATTATTTTATTATATTTGGACATCAACTGTTGATTTTTTTTTTTGGAACAAATTTGTCGAATTAATCACTTTTATTTGGAAGTTAAGTTTCGAATTAAATGTATAATTTTGAAAAACCAGTGCCGAAATCCTCAAATTGAAAAACACAAAAAAAAAAAAAAAAAAAAAAAAAAATTTAACTTTTAATCTAATTGCCAAAATAAGCCATGTGAACATTTTCACAAACTTCTTTTATTATCTCAAAATGTCCACAACAGTTGCCACTAAAATATCTATCTATCTTATGGACTTCCAAATTTTCAAATTTTCCTCACATCACATGACAAATTTTCAAATTTTCATATGTTAAAATTTTAATTTTAATAAGAACATATTTATCATTTAAAAAATTTATATATATTATAATATTAATTTATTTATTATTTATTTTATTTTTACTTATCTAAATTGCATATGCACGTCCGTCGCTCACTGGTATATGTGTATATGAACAATACTTTTCTCTTCACGACCATTCCTTCTTGTCTAAATAATACCCCAAAAATTCACTCTGTACAGTTATCTCATAAAATCAATGATTGCCACCACCAAAACTTCAATCCAGGCAGCCATAGAAACAAACTATGACAGAGCGCAAGAGCTAAAGGCTTTTGATGACACCAAAACTGGTGTCAAAGGACTTGTTGATGCTGGGATTGCCAGAGTCCCAAAAATTTTCATTCAACCACCAGACAATCTCAACAAAACCACCAATCCAAGCAATACCCAGTTCAATTTTCCAATCATAGACCTTACTGTCATCGACAAAGATCCGATCCGGCGGAGGCAGGTCATCGATGAAATCCGCGAGGCTGCGGAGAATTGGGGGTTCTTCCAGGTGGTGAACCATGGTGTTCCAGAGAGTGTGTTGGAGGAGATGAAGAAAGGTGTTCATAGGTTTTATGAGCGGGACAGTGAGGTGAGAAAAGAGTGGTATACTAGAGATGTGAAGAAAGCTGTGGTGTATAATAGTAATTTTGATTTGTTTAGTGCACCAGCTGCTAATTGGAGGGACACTTTCAATTGTAGTATGGCTCCTAAACCCCCAAATCCAGAGGAATTGCCCCCTCCTTGCAGGTATGTTGTGAATATATTATATGTTTGGTTGAGTTTTCAACAATTAGGTTCGTGAAAAAAAAAAATAGAAAATAAAAAACATTCATTATTTTATATGATTTTCTCTTCTATGGGGGTGAATATATTTGGAAAAATAACTAGTAAATTCAAGATGAGAGGTGTGTTGGGCATTAGGTCCAATGACCGAACTTATTTGGCAAGGACACGAGCTGAAAAGTTGTGCAAAATTGGTTAGAAAAGTCGTCAGCAACTAGTATTCTAATAGATGTTATTTTGGTAACCGGTGAGTATGTGTCAAAGTAATCAAGACCTTCTTTTTGTCTAAAACCTTTGACCACAAGTCTTGCCTTGTATTTGTCAATTGATCCATCCACTTTCATTTTTCTTTTGAAAATTCAGTTGTACCCAAGAGGTTTACAACCTGGTGGCAGATCCACCAATTCCCAAGTGTGATTTTGTAGGATGGATCCAACTTCACTATTCACAACTTCTTTCCATAAAGGAGCCTCATTAAAAGTTAAAGGCTCATTTTCTAACAAAAATGTTAGAAAATATGGATCAAAAGATTTTGAGGTTTTAGCATGTTTACTACGCGTAGGTTCATTTTCTTCATTTTGATTTATCTTTTGCTCTTGTTCTTGATCTTAATCTTGATCATGACTACTAGTAGCATCATAAGATCTTTTATTAGTACTAATCTCTCGTCTAGTTTTATTTAGAAATATATTTTCAAAGAATGCTGCATTCCAAGATTTAATAATAGTATTTACATGTATTTCCGAATGTTCTAACTTATAAATCAAAAACCGATATGCACTACTATTCTTGGAATAACCAATGAAAATGCAATCAATAGTTTTAGGATCTATCTTAGTCTTTTTAGGACTAGGAATAGCTACTTTAGCCAAACTGATTATGTCTGTTAGTGTATAGCTAGTGTATGATTATGTCTGTTAGTGTATAGCTAGTGTATGATTATGTCTGTTAGTGTATAGCTAGTGTATGATTATGTCTGTTAGTGTATAGCTAGTGTATGATTATGTCTGTTAGTGTATAGCTAGTGTATGATTATGTCTGTTAGTGTATAGCTTTAGCTTTATATTTTATAATGTACAATGCATCACACTTTCGGTGGGCATCCAATGCTCAAATTCTCTCTATAAAAGAGAGTGCATTCCCCGTGTAAGAAATATATAATACAATATTCAATACACAATTCTTTCTCTTTCTACATAAAACTATCAAGGTTCACCAAATAAATGAGATACTAGTTGTGCCCCCACAAATCGAGCCCTGCTCACCAACACCACCCCCGGTGGTGGTGATGGAGTGTTTGATTATTGAGAAGTTGAATGTATTGTATAGTTTAAAATTAAGGAAATCATCAAATTTGTGAGTTTGACAAAATTTATAAATGAACTTTTAGGATTATCATCTTAAATACAAAATTTCCCATTTGTACAATGTTAGTATTGATTAATTTTCTTGCAGAGATATTCTAATGGAGTACTCAAAACAAGTCATCAAGTTAGGGTGTTGTTTGTTGGAGTTACTCTCAGAGGCGCTTGGGCTGAGTCCAAACCACCTCAAAGACATTGGTTGCGCCGAGGGGCTCGCCGTGCTGTGCCACTACTACCCAGCATGCCCTCAGCCGGAGCTCACTGTCGGCACCACCAAACACTCTGACGACGACTTCCTCACTGTGCTGCTGCAGGATCACATTGGAGGCCTCCAAGTTCTACACCAAAATCACTGGGTTGATTGCCCTCCTACCCCAGGAGCTCTTGTGGTCAATATTGGAGATCTCCTACAGGCAAGTCTCTCATTCATTAACCATATTTTGTTTCAACCATAGTCCGTAATTTAGTATCTATCATAAAAAATTCAATCTCAGTGTACTTTTAATCACATGATGTGCCAAGAATTTCGAGACAGAAGAATCTCATGACATGATCTAAAAGAGCTTCTAAATCGTCCCATCACTTCACTCAAATTAGTATTAATTTAGGATCTTCCCGACTTGGTTGTTGTTTGGAAGAGCCCTCCGACGATCAAATTAGTGTTTGATTGAGAAGGACAAGAATATAAGAATAAATTGATTGGTTGTAGTTGTGTTTTTGTCTTGCTGCTTTGCCTTCCTTTTATAGTGATAAGAACACTCTCTTATGCTGAAATCTAACCATCTATCCTTGTTGCAGACATCGAGTGGTTTGACTCTGATTTGTCTTGGCTATCTTGTGCTTCTTCTATTTGATCTGCCTTGACCGACTCTTTTGGTATTTCTTCTCCGATCTGTTGCTGGGCTGACACCAAGTCTTTGGGCCCTCATAAGACCTCTACATTACGTTTCTCTTCATACTTCTATTTTGGATCGTTTCTAAATCATGATTTCTTACGTCCCCCACAATTATTTATTTTTTTGATCTTTTTATTTATTTATAATTTATTGTGCAACTAAAAAATATAAAATTAAAATTATAGACCATAATTCTTCAATCCAAAGCTAGCCCGATAAATAAACGGGTCAAAATCTCAAATTGGCTCTGTGATATGAACCAATATATTTAGCCAAAAAGTTAGAAAAAGCTTGGCCAAGCTAGATCGGCCTCCGAGCTAGTAGTCATCCTTAATTGTGATAAAGTAATTTAGAGACAGAAGATCTCATGTCCATTAAAACTTTTGTAACAATTACATTTTCTTCTTTCTTTCACTGTACAATTCATTTGAGTGGATTTTAAGTTCCTCATACAAATGCCTAGGCATTATAGAATTTGAAAAAAGTTGATCTCAAGTTGTTTTGTAGTTGAAATTCAGTTAAAACATTTGCATTGTTGATTATGCATTTGCCCTATCAAAGAGCAGTTCTATCCTTTGCAACAAATAAGCACATAATATATAAAATATAAACAAAATTTGTGTACAGAAGCCTCGTAAGATTATCCCTTCAACATCATTTTGTAAGGGATTTTCGTTAAAATTTGGTGTGATTATCATTCTCTTAATATATAACGTTGGCAACACAGACACACACACACACACACATATTTGATAACCGAGTGTTTGGATCAGTTTACGTTGACAACATTTATAACACGAAAATGCAACTTGTTCTTGTGAATAATTAATGGGCTAGTACTTGACTTTGTTTTCGGTTTTTTAGCTCGTATCAAACGACAAATTCAAAAGCATTGAACACAGAGTGCTGGCAAACCGTGTTGGTCCAAGAGTATCAGTGGCATGTTTTTTTAGCACAGATCTTCAGCCATCGTCAAAGGTTTATGGACCCATTAAAGAGCTTTTATCGGAAGAGAACCCTCCAAAGTACCGGGAAACCACTGTGAGGGACTATGTGGTCTACTTTCAAGCCAAAGGTCTTGATGGGAATTCTGTGCTTTCACATTTCAAGCTCTAAATTTGGCAATTCAACATGGTTGTAATTGTTTTGGTTTAGTCTTGCATAGCGAAATGGAGTATTTTCACTACTTTGAATCGTGTATCTCTTCAATTTTATGTTTTTTTGCAATTTACATTCGTTGTTAGAAGACTTAAAATTTCACTTTAGAAAGGTCTAATATTTTCTATTGTTCTAAGTGCCTTTCGAAATAGCTCAAATCAAAATGTAATGTTTATAGTTTTCTACTACTTGTTCATGAATCAGGATCTTCTGCCATGATTTTCTCTACAATTATTTTGTTATGATAATTTAACGGTTCAGATGTAAAGTTGAAGAAAAACGACATTACACCTTGGGATGTTCTAAGTGCTGGCAGCACACCTCAAAAACTAAGAACAAGAATAACTTCATATGATATCATTGTTGTGCGGAATATCTATTCCTAATTATGATCATGTGCAAGACCTATGATTTGCATAGTATCGTATAGGGGTGAGCACCAGTCCACTAGCCCAACCCAAGTAGCATTTTTAAAGAGTTTGAGATTGATAATTAAGTTCATAGGACCGGGTTGAGTTAAACTTTTAAGCCCATTTATTGAAATTGGTTGGGCTTGAAGTTACTATCACATGTAACGTCTTATTTTCCCCCCCCCCCCCAACACACACATATATATATTAATGGCGGTATGTAATTTAAATAAGTAAAAAAAATAAAATAAAATTGCATACTGTCTATCACTCAAGTGGTAAGTGTGTTGATTATTAAATTTAAAGTGTTATGTTTGAGTCTTATCCTCTTTTTATGGTGGTGTCTTGAAGTCTCAACTTTTTTAGTAAACTTAACATCTTACACATGCATCACATGTGACAATTGCTAGTAAATGAAATAGCTCTATGAGTGAGAGTGGAAAGAGCGTTAAGAGTTGAAACACTTAATTAGGATTGGTGAGATATGGAACATAAATATGAATAATAATTAATAAATAAATTAATTAAATGTACATAAAGAACATAAAAATTTGCATAGTGCACCCCAAAATTAAGTTTACATTCATGGCTATTGCGGCTATGGTAAGAGAATTGTACGATATAAAGATAGACAGTCTTCCTTTCAACTACATATACATAAAAATTAAAACAATAAGACATTAGTGCGTCAGTTGCTTGTAAAGACATTCAAGAGGCCTAATCATTGGGCAATGATTAGAAACCAATCTAGGCAAAACCCACTGACAAATTTTTGTAATTTTCGAAACCATTCATACAATACCACAGATCTATCCAGCCTACTTAACTTCTTGTTATCTTATTATTGGTCCAGGCGAAGCTTCTTCCTATCTATCATAGGTAAATCCTTTACCTCCACAAATGATACACTTGATGTATTTGACAATTACATAGACTTTTCCTGTGGTTTCTAAATTAAATTGGCTTCTCTTATTTTTGCTAACAAATGTAAACATACCCCCTTGGGTTGTTGTGGATGTAGTTGGAGTAGAAAAGTAAGGAAACAGAACTAGGAGTGGGGATAACTGTAATTGTTGTGTAGAAAGAAAAGGGAATAAAAAAAAAATAGGCAGTGCTGGAGGTAGTTGATTGAGGTAGATGGAGGTGGTGGGTTGGTTTTGTAATGGTTTTGTTTGATGGTGTGGTGCATGGTGGGAGGTTGATTTTGATAGGGGACAACAATGTAATTTCAGCAATTACGGGAGAGATTCTTGTAATTGTCAATAATTCGTGCAATTTGCCTAGGGCAAAATGTTGTGGTCCCATGCTCAAAGCAACGTGAAATCCCATTGATGGTTTCAACTTAGGACTCCAGCTCCAAAGACATATCATTTTTATTGTAAAATTTATAGTAATTTGCAAGTGTGTTATTTACTGTTGGAAGGTCAAATTGTTATTATAGTTGGATATTTTATGGATGTGCACTTGTTAAACATCATTCCCACTTCCATGCAGGCTATACTATTTGGAAAATGGTTCTCTCTATAATATAGGGCAAATGAATGAATCATAATTTTTGTTCCGACGCTATTTAGTTTCATTATAATATGACATTTAATTCATTACGTATTTAATTTGTGTTTAGCTAAATAATGCGCATTTTTTTACCTTAAATTATGACATCGAGATGACATATATTTTTTACTAGGGTAATATTTTGTCCATGCCCATGGTTCTTGTTGGCTTGAAAATCTATGAACTCACATCTCTCTCTCTCTTTTCACAGCTTTTGTCAATATCAATGGAGTCTAAATGGATTATATTTCGTTGTTCAGTTATTTGTTCCTCATCCTTGGTTTTGTCTATTGTATCCTTATCATACATTCTAGTTCATATTGGATTCCATCCTAGTCCAAACTTGATTTCTGGAATTACATGGTTTGACTTGCCTTTTGAACTATTTGTAACCATCAAGACTCTGAGAGATCAAAGCGTTGAACCTGATGGTGAAGTTGGTGACTTCAAGCTCAACTCAAAGACATTTCTTAGTTCTTGATAATTTTTTATACTAATTGGCTAGTGTATTAGCTACTGTTGGGAAGATTAAAACCATAATTATATGTGTGAAATTGTTTATTTGAACTCTCAATTTACTTTCACTATGGTATTATTAGTTCATTACATGTGTTATTTTGTGGAGATATGATGCCTCGAGTCTGGGACAATAGGATGAGGTACACTGTTGCTTCTTATGGTAGAAATAAAAGAGAGCAGGGAGATATGGGAAAGAGAGTTTTTTAAGTATAAAGTTGTTGACAATTTATATCAATGTTTTTGTTGATTCTTCTAAAATTTAAAATTTTAAAAAGAACTTGAAGAAGGATTTATCCTTTATTTTTAAGCTTGACGTTGAATATTGATTCTACTGTGCGGGGAAAATCTGTTTTAAAAAATATTTGCCTTAGAAAATTAACATGGATCTCATATTCCAAACACATTAAAATTGAGGTAGAAAGTAAACAAGTAGGATGAAACTAAATTAACATGGATCTCATATTCCAAACACATTAAAATTGAGGTAGAAAGTAAACACGTAGGATGAAACTATTATGAGACATGATCCATTCATCGTGACAACTGGTAGATATGGTGCTTTAATATCTACTTCTACATTATAAAATAAAATATTATAGATCTGAAATGATCGCTTAGTGTATAAAAGCGCGTTTAACAGCGTCGGATCTAAGTCAAGAATCAAATCCAAGTAAAGATTTGAAAACTTCTTTGATGGCAAGCTGTAGACACCCCATTTTTGACCGCCCTTAAGACTTGGGCACTATTGATGATTTACTTGGTGAAGAAAGGTGTGCAGGGCAAAGGTTCAGTTTCTTCGGCAAGGAGAGAGTCAAATCTCAACTTCATACCCCTTTTAGACCAAAACAATCTTGATCAAAAGATTTTAGACCTTGAAACCCTCTCTTTCAAAATGTTTTGAAAATAAAGTTCCTACGATGTTCTGATGCTCACATTTCGTTAAAATGTAACGTTTTTCGGTAAACCGAGCAAGGATGAAGTGGAAATGAATGAAAGAGAGTTGAAATCTTTGAAAAATCTTTCAAAACACCTTGTTTAGGGGTTTGGAGTTGAGGAAAATTGGAGAACAGGGAAGAAACCAAGTTGAAGAAGAAGGTGGGTATGAATCTCTAAGAGCGAGAGCCGAGCGGTCCTCACTAAATCACGCCTATCTGTCTATACACTTGGATTTTAGCTATGAGGCCACCACCGTTGGAAAGCTTACTTCCGGGGCTTCATTTTTCACTCAAGAATCTCCTAAAGCCAAGTCCGGATGGGGGAGATATGGTTGGTTGAAGTAGGGCATCAATCCGGTTGGACCGAAACTACGTGGCTTCACCAAAACAGGCATAACTTTTTGCACAGTTGGAATTTTGATGCAAGGCTGGTGCCATTGGAAAGCTAACTTCTGGGGCTTCAATTTAGACACTGGACGACCACTTTTTTGGTTTTTCCAGCCATTGGCCAACCACTTTTCTTTCCGGGAGACCACTTTTTGTCCTGAAAAACCAGAAAAGTAGCTGGCCGACTAGAAAAAGTGGCTGGCCGACCACTTTCTCATGAAAAGTGGTCGGCCAACCAGTAAAAGTAGTCGTCCGACCACCTTAACTGGTCGGCGACCTTCCTACATATTCTACAGGTGTTGTGGATGCCAGTTGTGCCAACTGGAAGACACAGATTGTATCCTCCATACACATGTATGGAGGGATTTATCCAAGCTCTAAGCATCTCCAAGAAGCTTTAGCTTATTGTTTTTCTATAAGAGAGAGGCTTCCCCTTCCAGGCTAATTTTTTTGGCAGAGAGCATAGGCTTACACTCTCTCTATAGCCCTCTCTTTCTCTCTCTATATTGGTGCTTTGCTTCACACTTGTACACACAACCTCATAGCCAAACACTCTTACCTTGCTGCTGAGTTGCTGGAGGGT